AATGGTTCATTTATTCACTGATGTGCTTGGACAAAACATGTTTCTTACCTCCTCCAAAAATCAGTTACTGATCAGACTGGCCTGGGAACATGGTGCTAGCAAGAGGATGAAAAACCAGAAAACCAGGATTCTCAGCACTGGGAGACAATGTCTCCACTGGCTAGAAGAGAGAAATAGCTCTCCTGATGTGTATTTATTTTACTCGGAAGGTGGGGGAGCATGGTGCAGTGCTTAGAGCAGAGGGGAGGGATTGGGAATTAGGGGTTATTTGCTCTCCCACTGACCCTCTGCCACCCTACTGGAGCATTCCCTATCCCACGGATCCTAAGAGTGAACATCAGGTACTGGCGACTTTCCGATGGGTGAAAAACTGAAAGGTCCAAGAATATTGTAGTGGGAAGAGGGTCTGGTACAAAATCAGCACTAAAGGTTGTTTACCCTGTGGGGGATGCACGTGCCCAGTGCCTCGTCCAACGCAGATCAGAAAGCTGGCGTATGCATGTGCATGGGGCCATTTACTCTGTGAGATCATTTCTGGGTGTGTACTCCCCCTAGCTCACTGCCAGTGGGGGTCATTTACTCTGCATGAGTGTGGGGGCAGTGCCTAGCACAACAAAGCAATGTGATTGGTTCCAGGTACTACGACCATCTAAATGTTAAAGTCACCCTAACGGTGCTGAGAGCCAGCAGTGCGCGCCCCAGGGAGAATGAGCTCTGTATGTTTCCTTGAAGCCTCTACTCTCAGCTCCACAGGGTTGCTTGAGCCCTGTTTCTCTGAGGCCAACTGGGCTCTCTTGCATCACCAGGGTGCAGACATGGGGTCCCATCTCAGGGGACAGTCTTTGTTAAAATCTGCCCTCGTCGCCCCTACGTGGCTACTAGCTACTTCACCCCAGAGGTGGCTGCATTTGCAAAGTACTGTCTGCAGCTGGGGCAAGGAATGCTTTGGAAGGTAAATATAAAATATTAGTACTAATGAGACGACAGCTCTGTTCTCACACCAATCCTACAAACAATGCCAGCCCTCATGCCCCCCACCCCTTTGCCTGGTTCAAACCGCTGCTCACAGCTCTGTGATACTGTGAGCGGGACATGCAGGAAGGATTAAACCTCTTCTCTGGGTGAGGAGCTGGGGCTTGCCAAGTTGACGGGGGTGGCCCTGAGAGCTGGGCCTCCAGGTGCAGAAAGCCATAGGGGACAACTTTTTGATCTCCAATTGAGGAGACTCCTGAGCATGACCTGGATGAGGCAGAGGAGGAATTACCTGCCCTGGGGCTTCTCTCTTCCTCTGGCCGAGACCCAAACTTTCATGATCTGACAGTCCAGGACCCTATGCCCCACCTCTGCCGAGGATGACCCACTGGTCTCATGACAGACTCCCCACGGCTGTGCTACCCCCGCAGGGAAGAGTTCTTGCCTAAGAAGAGCTATTGGACCATCTCTGCTGTTCACTGCTCTGGCAGCACAAAGCAGGCAGAGCCAGTAGTGTAGAGGTGCTGGACTAAATGAGAATGGGGCCCTGTCTGAGGCTGTCGCTATGCAACCAAAACCCAGTGGGACACGGCAGCCGCCCTTTGTGCTCTCCCACAGTGCCCCCCCCTTGCTTGGGGAAAGTTCTCCGTAAAGCTCCTCAAAGCTCCCTGCCAGGGTTCTACAAACCTACTGCCTATCAGGCTGACCAACATGTCGCACCCTTTCTTTGCACTGCTTTGGTTGGCTTGCAGTCAGCTGCTGTCTCTTTTCTTAGATTAGAGGAACATTCAGGGGTGTGTGGCACGTTAGGCCAGCCCCCACAAAAGGCAGAGATGGAGCATTACCCAGCCCTGGCTCCACCCCAGCCCCACTTTCAGCCTGGGCCCCTGGCTGCAGTTCTCACTCCAGATTCACCCCCCAACTGTGGCCCCAGCCGCAGCCTCAGGCCCCTGTCCCTTTCCCCCCTCCTGGAGCTGCAGCCCTGCTCCTGACTCAAGAGGCACATGGACAGGGAGGCAGGGACCCCAACCCTCAAAAGTTTGGGGGCCACTGTCTTACATGGGGAGCTCCGAGGCAGGGACTATTGTCCCATTGGGTGTTTGTACAGCAATTGGCAAAATGAGAGTCGGAGCCATTACTGGGGCGCCAAGGTGTTACAATAATACGAATAATAAATCAACGTAGCTGCACCAATGCAACTAGTAATAACACACGGCATTAGAGTAACATGGGCGTTAAGTACCAGATTAAGTGGCACTGCAGCAAAATAGAGGTGTGCAGTGATTTAATTACAGCAGTTTAGTCACATAGGCTGTGTCTAGACTACATAGTTCCATCGATGGAGCCATGTAGATTAGACAGATAGGCAAAGGCAAATGAAGCCGCGATTTAAATGATCGTGGCTTCATTTAAATTTACATGGCTGATGCGCTGAGCCGACAAACAGCTGATCAGCTGTTTGTCGGCTCAGCGCATCAGCCATGTAAATTTAAATGAAGCCACGATCATTTAAATCGCGGCTTCATTTGCCTTTGCCTATCTGTCTAATCTACATGGCTCCATCGATGGAACTATGTAGTCTAGACACAGCCTATGTGACTAAACTGCTGTAATTAAATCACTGCACACCTCTATTTTGCTGCAGTGCCACTTTCTAAGGTGGATGTGCTACCTCGATTTACAGCCCCATGAGGCACCAGGGAGGAGCTATTTCAAAATAGCAGCAGTGGAGCATCCACACTACCACTATTCCGAAATAGCTAAGTGTTATTCCTTGGGGAATGAGGTTTACAGATTTCAAAATAAGCCATCCGTTATTTCGAAATTATTACAATGGAATTGCCATGTAGACGCTCGCATTGTTATTTCAAAGTAATGTCATGCAGGTGAATTTCCTTAAGTCAGACAGGGCCAGTTATTCCTTATCCGTCCCATGACTGTTTTCTGGCTTCATTTGCAACTTCTATACATGAAAGTGAACATAAAAGAACAGCACGACAAACTCAAAACCATTGTCCCTGCTCCCTGAAGAGAAATGCCCGCACATGTGAACATTTTCCTCAGGGTTGTACCAGTTTAACTAAAACCACTTTAGTTACATCAGTGCAAACCCATTACACTGATAAAACTCAACCCAAACTTGTCAATATAGCTTAAAACAGGAAGAAATTGTCTTAAATGTGTCACCTGACATGTATCTACTTAGTTTAAGTGTCTGCAGGGGCTTGTGCTAGTTTAACATCACCCCTTCAGTTAAAGTACCTTGGAAACTGTCATGCCTGGGGCTGAGATGACGTACTCAACCTGCACAAATGGCTGTATTCATCCTAGTGAGTGACTGCTGGTGGGGATCACAGCCATGGCGAGGTGGGCATTTCAAACTCTGTCCTTGTTTTGATTGGGGTGAGGTACACCTGGGGTCCTTATCTTCTAGTTCTTGGAGTCAGGGGCGATGGATATCAAAGTTAATCAGCCCCCAACCTCATCGCCCAACACTGCAGGTCTCTTCATGACAGTGCTTGAGTGACCGCTATTAACTAGAGCTGCGTAGGAGATATAGTAAAACAAGGTACATTGCATCTCCATGTGGGACAGGGGCAATAATGCCATGCAAAGGCTGCTCAGATGGCAGCTGTACACTGCATACCGAAGAGTCAACACACCTTCCATAGGAAGAGCCACACGACTCAGACTAAAGGTCCATCCAGCCCAGTCTTTTGACATTGGCCAATGCCAGGTGCGCCAGAGGGAATGAACAAACAAGTGTGGTCCACCCCTCTTGCCCATTCCCAGCTTCTGGCAAACAGAGGCTATGGCCACCGTCCCTATTCATCTTGGCTAATAGTCCTCCATGAATTTGTTCTTTTCTGAACCCACTTCTAGACTTGGCCTTCATAACATCCTCTGGCAAAAGCCACAGACTTGACTGTGCACTGTGTGAAGAAATACTTTTTTGTTTGTTTTAAGCCTGCTACCTATTAATTTCATGTAGTGATCCCTAGTTCGCATGATATGAAGTGTAAATAATACTTCCTTTGCTTTCTCTACAGCGGTCATGAATTTATAGACCTCTCTCATATCCACTGTTTCTTGTCTCTTTTCCATTCTGGGAAGTCCCTGGCTGACTGACAGATGTTCTATACACCCCATTGTTTTTGTTGCCCTTCTCTTCACCTTTTCCCAAAGTTTTTTTGAGAGAGGGTGACCACATCTGCATGGAGTATTCAAGGTGTGGGTGTACCACGAATCAATGCAGAGGCAACCTGAGGCAGAAACACCCACCCTACAGGGTACCTTGAATCTGTGTCGGGAGCATAGGTACAGAGGTAAGTTCTACAGGAAACACAGTTCTAGTAGGAACCCACTTTGGTCAGGTTTGCTGCAAGAGATCACGGGCTGTGCTTCCCACTCCCCTCCTTGTACCCTAGTAGTTAAAGGGTCCCTAAATGTGCTTTTCAGCACCCGGGCATTTCTAGAGTCCTCCAGCCAATAGCTCGTAGTGCCCCCCACTCACACCTCACCTTGGCCCCTGTCTGATGTGAAGGGGCCAGGTTGGGGGCTGTAAGAACTATTTTCTCTTCCCTACTCCGTGCTTAGCCAAAGACTGCCCATATGAATCCTTTACAGCATGGTGTCAGTTAAGCAGCAAGAATGGGGTTTGGATCAGGAAACCTGAGTGTCAATGCCCCCAGCCTCATGCTGGCTGCACAAATCACTTCACCTAGTTTCCCAGCTGCAAAACAAGGATACTTTTTGCCCACACTTTGCTGCCTTGCTTAGCCAAGCTGCAAGCTCTTTGGGGCAGGGCTGACTCCAATGTGTCTGCACAGCATCCAGCTTGAGTTACTAGACTCCTTGTACTGGAGTAATGTGGGAAATAAGATCAAGGGTTCTTAGCTTTTTGCCTTCTGAGCCACTCCCATCATTCTATAAAACTCCGCAGCCCATCTGTGCCACAATAACAGTTTTCCTGCATATAAAACCAGGGCTGGCGTTAGGGAGTAGCAAGCAAGGCAACTGTCTGGGCCTCATGCCACAGAGGTCCCTACAAAACTACAATGACCAGGGTTCAGCCCCGGTTGGCAGGGCTCAGGGCTTCCCACTTCAGTCCCATGCAGTGAGGCTCCAGCTTTCTGACCTGGGCCCCAGGAAGTTTAACGCTGGCCCCTGGTTGGTGTCCCCCTGAAACCTGTTCATAGCCCCGTAATTGAGAACTACCGGTTTATTCCACATCAGTCATGGAGCAGGCAGGCCTGGAATTCTTAACAAGCTGGGCTGGATTTAAGCAGTGAATCCAGCTTACTGGCTGGAGTACCTACCTCCTGGAAGGCCTAGTTACACATTTCAAAAAGTTTGCGTCTCAACTACAACTTTTAGTCTGCCTGAACCCTAAAGGCCAGATCATCAGCCAGTGGAAACTGAAAGCGCAGTGCTGTGAGTCAACAGCACTATGCTGATTTACAACCACTGGGGACCTGCCTCCTTATTTTAACAAAGCTTTGCTGATTTACAGTAATTGAGGCACTGGCCCCAAATTCTTTAGCATATGTGGCTAAGAAGTCCCATCCCCCATCAAGGGACTCAAACTTGGTGATAATGGAAGGCTTTACTTGCAGCTCTTTGGATCTGGCGTGGGAGTGCTGCTATGATCCCGTATGAAGAGAAGTGGAGCAAATGCGACCCATACACATAGTAGATGCAGTTTTGTTTCTGGATTGAAATGTGAAACCGAGAAAGGAGAGATGAAAATAAAGGATTTACAGTACCTGGATCAGTCTGTCTGCCAAGGCAGCACTCTCCTAGCGGAGATCCAGACAGGGAAGGAAAGATGGAGAAGGAAAGAAAAAAAAAAAGATACAACAATAACAAGGTCATTGCACAAGCGCTCCAATCACAGGGAGAAGCACAGAGGACAGCGAGACTTAAAGCAGCAGGAGGAAAGAACCCAGCAGAGCCCAGTGAGATAAACGCACCCACGCAGAGACATCTTCCATGCCAGAGCAATTAGGGCAGGAGAATCCAGACTTTTTGTTGCAACAGGGCAGCCTGGCAGGAGCCACCTCAAATCTGCATGGGAATTTGACCAACAAGTATATCCCTTGACCAAGGGCTAACTGCTTGTTGTGTTCGCCAGCAATAAACCTGCCACTTATTAGCTGGGTCTGAGCCCTGAGGTTCCAGAGAGACAGAGAGCGGCTATGACATAGGCTTCAGGGCCATATGCTGCCTGCAGTCCTCGAAGATGTTCTCAGTGACATCCTACAACATTGCAGTAATGAGCAATGGAAAAATCCATGGCAGCCATAGTCCTTGACAAAGGACATGCCACCTGGAAAGATACTATACAGTCCTGTCAGAGAGAGGACCTAGCATCGAGAGCCTGATTTTACAGAGGCTTTTTCTTGCTGAGGTGGATGGGAGCTGCAGGGGCTCAGGACCTAGGAAGACCAGGTCCACAGTGCCAGCGTGCAGGACAGTGATATACACCAGTTAGTAGATGAAACCTCAGTCATGCATGCAGCCAGGGAGCCCCGGGTAAATCAGGGATTCTCTCTGGTTCCAGAGGTTTCCCTTTTTAGCTTTATTGAAATCCATTTTGTAAGGTCTTTTTTTTTTTTTTTTTTTTTTTTAAAACACAAGAACAAAATAGTGTGAAGTATTGTACAGCATGAGGCAAAGTGACAGAATTAGAGGCAGAGGTACAAAACCCAGTGGCAGGGCAATCAAATCACTTGCAGGCCTGGATAAGTAAGTTTTAAAAGCCACACATGGGTGTGATCAGTGCCACATGGAGGGGAGGGGGGGAAAATCAGGCACTGTGCTCAGTTCCAGAGATACTCTTTTACAAGTGACCTCAGCATAGCTTCAGGACTGGGACTCCATATATTTTTTATTCTGCAATTGAAGATTTTTCAAAAAACAAAACAACCAAACAATCTAAGCATCACTTCACTGACCTGGCAAGTAAGATTTAGTGTTTTAGTATCTTATCCAGATCACAAGACATTTAAACACACAAGCATCACTTTAATAGTCACCCTGAAAGTAGTCTAATCCTTGCTCCTTGACTGGGCTCCAAAGCCTTCTTTGAAGAGCCATCACTATTGTTGACAGTGCATTAGACCAACATGCCAGGCAGTGCTGTGAGCGTATGATGCAGGCTACATGGCCTGAGCTAACAGTTGCCTTTCCTGGGCACGTTTATAGTGAGTTGGGCCAGGCGACTGTGCAATGCCTCATTTTTGGAAGCCAAGCTAGTCTGGAAGTGGAGGAGGTGGATTCGCACACGGCCCGGCACGCCCCTCACCTTCTCCAGGGTCTCGATCCTCTGCTTTAGGAGGCGGTTCTCAGTCCGGAGCCTCTGCAGAGGAAGAAGTGAGACATCAGCAGGAGCTTCCTGTATGCAAACCTGGCCTTAAATAGGCTGGGTCTGCCCTCTACTGGGAAATAACTGAAATCACAGCAAGTGAGGGACCACATTCTGGGTTGCAGAAATCCCCTTTGCCATTGCTTTGGGTTAGGCTCCAAGTTCAGCCCAAGAATGAAGCAGTAATCTCTTACATTTACATAGTGCCTTTCATTCCCTGGGAACCCAGATGGTACATATAGGGATCACTTTGCTCACCTCTGAAGTGCAGCTGTCTCTGGGGTGGAACATGGCAGCTATTTAACAGCATGCAGTACCACTGCACAAGAAATGAAGGGGGCATCTGCTTCAAGTTGCTGGGGAAATTTCTGTAGCCAAGTGCAGTTAGTGTCACACATGCGAAAGGCCACATTGGAGAAGGGAGCATCTATAACCTCTGACCCAACAGGCCTAGCTTTGAATAAGGTGTTGGAGTACCAATAAGCAGCATTAGAGGCAGTGATCTGATGAGCTCTCAGAGTTAAACTCAGGCGGCTCCCATAACCTTTCCCTCTAGGTGCTGCTGGGATACAGCAAGGAGGGCACGGAGCAAAGGACGGACTTACTTTGATCTCAATCTGCTCCTCCATCTCTTTGTTTTTGATTGCAGCGTACTCCTTCTCCAGCCTGAGATAGACATGCAAGCCAGACTGGATCAAACCTGCTTTATCACCCACCCCCACCCCAGCGCTCAGGTTCACCCCTGCAGGGACCAGGAGCAAACAATCTAGGCTGAGTACCTTGCACGCTGTGCTGAGGCCCAAGCAGAAAGAGGCCACACATACTAAAGCTTGATGGGGAAATTAATGATTCTGGATTGGGAGCTTCGCTTACACCGATTTTAACTCACACGCTGCCTCAGCCCCCCATGTGCATCACTTACAAACTCAAACAACTGAAAGACCCATCACTGATGCACTCTGGCCCTCAGCTCCTATTGCTTGTTCCTCAATTGGAGCCACAATCCCACAGAATGTGGCATCTGGCTCAGCTGATGAATAGCACAGTGGGCGGCCACAGCTAAGACTCAGGATTCGTAGGGAGAAGTGAGCAGCAGCACAAGAGGAACCGAGCGCATTTTTGCCTATGAGCATCCCCAATGGCATTCCTTAAGCCAGGGGTTAACAGTGCGGTTTTGGTGGTCTCAGAGTGCAGCCACCAATTCTTAATAGGTGGTTGCTCGGATCATTTTCCCTAAAACCCTTCATTAACTTTAGGAAAAACACAAATAAATCTGCATATATACACGCCCAAGTCTCTGCAATTTGTTTACACAAGATTTGTTTTCTGACTCAGTAATAAAAATGATGTACAGTTGTTTCTTCTTTACTCGCCCTAAACAGAACAGAAAAACAAGCGACCTCCCAGGAGGCTGTGGCTGCAAGAAAAGCCTCAAGTGGCCATATGCAGCTAGGATGGCACATTGGAGCACTGCAGCCTTAAACCCACCTCTCCAAGCAATCCTTTCCTGTCCCTGATTGAACCATTTAGCTAGGTTTCATGGTTCTGCTATTGCATAATCTGTGTCTCAGTACTTTGTGCTCTCAAGGGATTCTCCTTTCTGGCCCATCTTTTGGGGGAAGGGACAGTTTTGCTCACTATACAGTACTGGGACGATCCAGTCTGTTTAAAGGACACTAGGTAGGCTACTGGAAGGGCAGGGAATCCCTTAACTGAGCAACAAGGAAAGTTGAAATAGGCCAGTTTTGCCTGATCTTTATCTCCTGGACCCTTCTTCATACACAGTCCCTGCTTAAGAGATCTGAAATGCAGGCTTCTGCCCTTCAAGAGAGGAATGCGTGCTCCCATTCCATTCCATTCCATTCCATTCCATTCCATTCCATTCCATTCCATTCCCTGTCCTCCTGCTTAACTCTCGCCCAGGATCCTCAAGGCAGCATGGCTCAGGAAGGGTTTCTCTGCCAGTCGCCTGTCTGGGGCATTTCACAGGGTGGGGAGTGAACTTACCTCTTCATTTTCTTGGGATTGTATTTGACCTGATATGCCTTCAGGATCAGCTTGTCAGGGCAGCTCTCGAACTGATGAGGAATCACCTTCTGGAAATACTGTGGGAAGGAACAGAGGGCATTTCACTGAGCCCCTATTAAGCACTCTAATAAGCCCTACCTCCTCTCCCAAACCTCCTCCCATCCTCTGCATTCAATACTCATGTCACAGCAGACAGCTCAGCAACTTGCCTTCCTTGCTATCTGGCCTCTAGTGGTTTCTGACGCCCTTGAGCAATCACTGGAAGCCTCTTACTTCCTGCTAGTTCATTGGTGTGTCAGACCTGGGCGTTTCAAGTGCATCTGAGGAATGTGGGACTTCCTGGGCAGCACTTGGGTAGGTTCAGTATCTGGGAAGTTTCCAAAGCTCCAGCAGCCAGAGAGAAGTGTGGGGAGCAGAGCTGCATGTGAAGAAGCTGGATAGCTGGAGTCAGTGGGGGAGGAGAGGAGGAAATAAAAACAGGAAGCTATTTCTAGGAATACTGGAGGGGATTACACCCCTCTTTACTACTTCCATTTGTGGCCCGGGATCAAGGACAGGCTCCTGCTGACAGGGCAGCAGGAACAATGCACCACTTTTATAGCTCTTAGCCTCAAATCTTAACACCAAAAGGGCGAGTGAGGGGAAACTGAGGCATGGACAGGAAAGATCTGTGCTCTGCACAAAGCAGACACAGGAGCTTATCCAATGCTGTCAGCTCCAAACACAAAGGGCGTTCATGTGTCTGGCCTCAGGACATCTCAAATTCAACGGGAAAGCTGAAAGCTATGTCTCACAGTGCCCAGCATCTGTAGGGGAACTGAAAGGAAAATCACTCTGCAACCTCAGCAAGCCTGCAAGGACTTCTTCACTTTCTGTCTAGTGCATGACAGCGACAGCACAGTGAGTGAGAACTGTAACTGCTGATGGGCCAGATTCACAAAGCCCAATTGTATTTCACACAGTAATGCATTTTCTTGCCATGCCATTGTTCTCTTCCCCCTTCCCACCAACTGCATGGTCTCAGCAGTGGGTCCTACGCAGCCAAGATGCTGGAACTGCATCATCTGTCATCTAAGCAGAACAAGAGCCACAGGTACGGACGGGGCTGTAAGATTAACCATGTACATGATCCTGCTGGGGTAAGCTGTAGCATTGCAGGCAACAGTACTTCACTGGCTGGAGAGAGAATATCTATTGGGGATTCTTTCACATCTCCCCTTTGAAACTGTGCCTGAGGAAAATGGAAACTGCCTGAACTCACATTTCACAGAGATTTGGATTCAGGGTCTGGGCTAGATGGTGACTTGTGGCCCACTGAGTTTCAGAAGCATGTCAGGGTGCCGCATACCAGTGATACACAGAGCAGTGCCCCACCACAAGCTTGGGCCAGCCACGAAGAAGTGGGCCAGTCTTGAGTGTTAGATTGGGCAGCTTCCATTTACACACTGAGCATGGCCAGTTCAACAGGATTATGGAGCTTTTTCTAAGACAACTGCATGGCTGGCAAAGAGGGCAGTCTGAGTGCAATGCAGAGCTTTTCTGACCTGCGACATCCCCTCCATATCCAGCTGCATCAGCTCCGCCTGGTTGAACTGCAGGAGGGCCATCCCCACACGGAAGATGATCTCCAGCCCCTATGGCAAAGCACAGAGAAGGTTCAGGCCCGGACACAAGGCTCACGTGGCATTTGAGAGTGCAATGAAAATCAGGTGCCTAAGCTCTGTTCTTCTCGCATCTCAGGGGCAGGGAAACACACCCAGAGCTTGATTCCCCTTCACACCTAAGCCCAGACATCACTCCTGCAAGGAAAAGAGCCTTAAAGTAAATGTAATTTATGCCCACACCAAGCTCCCTTTACCAGAGCAAGAACAGCACAGGAACTTCACTGCCAGAGCCCCAGAAAGGGGCCTTCAACATAACTGAGAATTAGACCCGGAATTTCTAATGGGTCTAAGAAAGGAAAAGTTGTTCACCTTTTCCCAGTGAAGCCACCCAAAAACCTCACTGGGTAAAACTGTCAATTTCCTCGGATCAACTACAGGTTAAAGCTTGCATTTCACATCCCGGGTGGGGAACCCAAACTCGGGCCATGGTCCCTAAAGGCAATCTGAGCCTGGCAGGAAAGGTCAACAACTAACTAGTGGGAGATGAGCCTATACCAGGGGTGGGCAATAATTAGTCTGAGGGTGGGGGAGCTTCTTTGCCCCCCCCCTTCCCACTAGGCACCCATGTCCTGGAAGAGGCTTGGCATGCTACCCCACCCCCATGCCAATTAGAGCCTGGAGGTGGGGAAGCATGGGAAGCCTCCTCCCACCCTGCGAGGAGCACATGGCAGGGCAGGGACAGAGCGGAGATGGCTTAGGGTGCTCCCCCGCCCCCAGACCCTAATTGACCCTCAGAGGCCCTTTTGCCCACCCCTGGCCTATACAAACGCCTCATCCTGAGTGCAGGTCTGGTCAGCCATGCCCCTTGGCTCACAAAGGCTGACTCATATCCCCAGAACTCCTTGGGCTGCAGTTTGGCCACAGCTCCCATAGGAAGTGCTCCAATTTACACACACTACAGCTAGCCACACACATATGGCCCAAGGGCACTGCCACAATAGGGCCAGACTCTGTGGGGAGGGGTGAAGTGCAGAGCAGGGCTTCTGCCACTAAGCTTGCTAGTCTATTAGGGCTAATCACTACAGCTTTGCAGAGTCTCATCTAGTCACCCCAGAACAAGAGAGTCAATGGGAGTGTGGGGTGCTCAGTGTCACTGAAAGAGAGAGAATGAGGACATACAGTTCGAAACACTTGAAGCACTGTGTAGAGGGGAAACGCCTTTCTGATCTTACAAGTAAGCCTGACAAGATTTAACAAGCTTCTTCTATTCAGGCAGAAAATGCAGCTGTGGCTGGTTTTAAACGACTTAGCTTGTTCACAATTAATTTTTCCCAGACATTGGCATTGTTGTGTTTGATCCTGCCTTCAGAAAAGCAGCTGCTCCCCCTTCATATCAGAAATCCCTGTAAGCTCATGCTCATGCCCCCAGTCCTCCCGGCACAAAATGCTTCACCTCATACATGAAGATGTCAAACACTCGGGTAGCCACCGACAGAGGGAAGGTCGTGAGGAAGAGGGTGAGAAACCAGGATGATGAGTACATGGAAGTGAGAAAACTCTGGGAACGAAAGTGGATGTTCAGCTCAGGCAGCTGCTCCTGCATAGGAGAGAGAAAGAGCAGACATGTGACTATTGCTGATCATTACAGCCTCTAGGTTGCACACCATCCCTTCTGAGGTATGGGAATCTCTTAGCCAGAGGGAGCACTGAACTACCAGAGACAAGGACTCCACTGCAAGAACCAATTCCATTAGTCGCTCCCAAAGGCAACTAGCTCATTTAGGTTCTACTCTTCTCCGACATTCTGTGGGGAATCTGGAAAGAATCCAGGCTTCTCTAGCCTAGAGTCACAGACCATCGTGTGCACAAAGAAACCACTGGCCAGTTCCCCAGTTAACCTGCTAATACCCTCATATGGCCTCATTGTCTGAGCTACTGTAATCCTGGGTTCCTCATTGTACTTACCTGCAGCATATATTCAAACTGGTAGATGCAGAGGCCTAGCTCGGCCATACTGGGTTTGAATAGCTCTCGTAATCGGTACTCCTGCATCAGCCGCACAAACACACAGAAAGCCTCTTCCTCGGGCATCTGCAGGTTCAAACCGAGACATATCCCACATTAGTCTCTCAATGGAGCCCAGCATGAAACTGACTCAGAACTATGCTCTAAAGTAGCTGAGACAAACACTAAACACTAGTTACAAGAGATGGAGCAGAACAATGCTTTCCATTCGGATTGGATTCCTGACACTTCTGGCCAGTGATCAAGCATTTTTCCTGCTGCTTCCATGGGGCCAGCCACTGCTTACATGAAATGCATTCCCAGTGGAGAATTTAAGCATGCAAATGGATGAGTAGGACTCTGCCATGCTGGACACTCTTCCCCAGTAGGTTTACATTGACTTTATATGTCATTTGTACATAGCATACCATCTATATACGCCACGTTACAAACAGATTAGCCTGATCCATAGAGGGTCTACAAAGGTGAAGGGGAGGCCCAATGACGCTTCTTTCATTCCTGATTTTAGGGTTCATTGGTGTGAGATAAGGGTCAAAACAGGTAAGGAGGAAACAAAGGAAAATTCACAACATCTGAGGCTTGCTTATTATGGGAGGAAGCATCTAAATTCCCAACCAGAGCATGTTGATTCACCTGTGAAGTGTTTGAGAGGCATTTCTAGCACTGCTTCATAACAAGACAAGTACCTAGCTTTTAGTGTTTAAAACCTTCCCTGGAGTGTGCTTCACAGGGTGAGGTGGTAGATTTTGGCTTTGAAACAGGCTTTGCCTTGTTAAACAGATGCAGGAAGAGTGCCATCTTTTACTCTCAGGTTTGTGTGTCAAAAGAAAATTCCTGTTCCCTAAAAAAGAGGCTCTCTGGCACTAGAGAAGACACTTTTCAGAAATGGCAGAGAAGTAGAAATGACTCGGCACAGCTCAAGTTGGCTGCATTCACAGTCCAGAAGGTCACTAACTCTCATCCCAGGGTTTGCATTTGTACTGACAGTGCAGTAAGTGGCAGGGGACCTTCAGGTGAGCCATTAAACCAAGTCCCTTCTGCCAAGTCTTTGGGGGAAGTTAAAGATCCTGTGGCATTTCCACAGCCATTAATTGCACTGGAAAAAGCTCTGGGCTAGCAGTTTTGATGGGTCAGATGCTGCATAATCTCACTCAGCATGATCTCCATTGGCACCAACCTGCATTAGCAGCAATCCCACGATGAACGCGCTGCCCTGACAATATCCAACCTCTCGGTCCACTAGGGAATAAGCCTGAAAGAAGAGCACTTGAGTGTGATGCAGGCAGAGTTACGGTCTCTAGAGCCCTGCAGGGGAGCTACAGACACACAAATGATAATTAGTTAGAAGAGAGCAAAAAGGCGAGGAGTAAGGCAACAAAACCAATGGCCACGGGCGGGAGGCCAGAGGCAAGAACTCTTTTTAGGACCCAGAAATGTGTTAATATTCCTCTGTAGCCCACACACATGAAGAGAAAAGTATCCCAGATGAAATTATGCCTACAAGTGTTCTCTTGAGCTCAGAGCGTGCAGCCAGCAAACATCATGCTTTAAATACCCCAAAGCTGTATTAACTATCTATATCAAACAGGGTCCAATAAGAAACAGAATTTGCATCACAGATCACAACTGCCTTATTTCAAGCATTGCGTTTATTAACATTTCTGTAGCCACTGTATTATGCAACAAGAGATAAGAACTGACACCCAGCCTGAGACAAAGGCCCAAGACTGCAAGGAGAAACATATTAAAGGGAATTGCCTTTAATTGCCTGAGAAATGTTTCAGGTGCTTCCCTAGCCACCACTTTCTAGGTCTATTTTCCTTATCTGAATGTTTCTTTCATACAGAGTCTTTACCAGGCAAAACAGTCAATCCTAAGGGAAAAATATGCCACAGCGACTTGAGGTCGACAGGGTGTTTTCATTTAATATGCCTTCACAGCTAGAAGAACTGGATATACATGGTCTCTTCTTACACCATCTCCCTAAGTCAGATGAAACTGACAAGTTACAAAGTTACAGCAGAGCCAGCTGGACACTAGACTTCCTCACAGGGTCATACATCATCAGTAGGGAGGGTAGCGGGGTGGGAGGAAAAAACTTCCCTGGCTGAAGTCACCAGTTTCTCGCTGATGGGTGAGGATGCTGAAAGTGATGAGGAAGACAGATGGAGAATACTCTTTGGAAAACATTCTGTAGCCCAGTCCCCTTGAAGTATTGGCACCCCCAAATACCACAACATTATTGATACACAGTCAATACAGGCTTCGTCATGCAAGAGAACTTCTCCAAACCCTTGTTCTGTACATACCCACAGATTTAATCTTCCCACATCCTTCACACAGCATCCCCTGCCTGGTGCTATTTGTATACCATTGCCTTAGCAAGCAGCATTTTCTCTAGAGCTGACTCTCCCTCCAACTGACTAGGAAGTACCTGCAGTATTTAGTGCCCAGCTGCCTTTGACTCCCAGCGTGCTTTGCTAAAGATTATTAATAGCTCCCTCCTGTTCTAAGAATGAGTGAAATCAGATGGACCACGCCTTAACCTGAGGCAGGCACAAACTCTTCAGCCTACTTCCCACTAAGACTTGCTTCTTACAGGGTTTGTGGTTTCACTCTACTTCCCAGCTCAATGTCACAGCCCTGGCATTCAAGATACTGAAATGGAACTCGTGTAGCTTCCATCAAGTCACTTTTCTAACTGTAACCCCACTTTGAGAGTGCAGTGCTGCATCATGTGCTACAGCGGCTCTCTACACCATCTGCCCATATGCTAGATGCTGCCCTCCACTGTGACCATTACAGGTGGCTCCTTGTTACCTTCATGACATTGAAAAGGACCTCTTGGCCTAGGCTATCCTGGCCCTTGAAGAACTCATGCTCAGGGTATGTGCGGGCTATGTCCCTCCGGATCAGCTTCTCGCAGGGGGAAGACATCTTCAGCAGCTCTGAATACTGGTTCTTGACAGGCATGTCTGTGGCACTGCACAGAAGCTGCCATACTATGGCTCGGAAGTGGTGCGGGATTCCTTTCCGTATGAGCTCCTGGTGAGAAGCAATGCAAAGTGGTCATGAGTCAGCAGGGGAGAATGTTCCACAATCCTGGAGTTTTATACAGCCTCTCTGTGCCACAATGGGTGAGTGAGATTCAATACTCTGCGCGAGCTTATGCAGATGTGCTGGCGGGCAAGGGGTAGGGATGCTGCAAAGGGCCCTGAAGAGGGCCCATCCCCTCCCCCTTGTGGCCGAGATGGATAGATGTGGGAGTGAGTAGTGGAAGAATGTCTTTGGCAAGTCCTAGGACAGGGTTACAAATCAAACTGCCTTTGAGCCTGAAAAAGATCCCAGGTATTGCTGGGAATGAGGATGTGGGAGAGGAGGGAAGAGGTGGAATCTGTGCTAACCATGTCCCAATTTCTCACTAACCTGCCCCCCTTCCTCACCTTCAGCAGTTTCTCTTTCTTTTTCCGCCATTCGTCCCATTCATTGACGATCCTCCCCCACAGGATCCAGGTATCTTCCTCAAGGTGGCTCAAGTTGGAGGAGGCTGAGGAGCTGGAGACTAAGGAGGAGCCACTGTTCCTGCGGGAGCCATTCATGGAGCGCATGGACTTGGAATCTGCTTCCAGCAGCCTGAATGAGATGCCAGCAGCATTGTGAGACCAGAGCTACTGCCACCTCTTCCCAGATTCCACAAAGCAAAGCCACAAAGGCAACAACCAAGCAACCATCCAAGCCATATAGCAAGACCATCAGTGCAAGCCTGCACCCTCGGTTCTCTACATCACATGTGAGAGTCAACGCTCCTCATACAAAGAGAAAGCTCCTCTGCAGAAAGATGGGCTATTGAAGCTACCAACCTTTGCACTGAAGGCAGCAACAGAAGGGAGAGTTTAATGTGTTGCTACATTACTTTTAATAGCAAGAGTTCAAGTCTGTGTGTTTCAGGAAGTGATTCAGACTCAAAGATTCCATGATGGAACGTGGACATTCTTTGTCAGGGGCTCTCATAAGAACCAAGTTTAACTAGATTCGCCATATGGCTTTTTGAGAGGGAATTTATACCAGGACAAACCTTCTGTGCTCCTATGAAAGGATATTAGGATCTAGCCATTTCCAACGTAAGCTCTTTTCTAACCCTTGGCTTCTGTTTCAACGAAGATACAAGCCTTTAAACAGACTCAAAATTAAAAGGCAACCCGAACTCCATGTTTGGCAAATCACTTTCATAATCCGGTTTCACAGCGCTCCCCACTAGCCAAAGTAAGAGGAGTATTCAGAATAGACACGTTAAATGTAAATTGTAATACGTTAACATGTTTCTTGTTAGAACACAAACTAAAGAATAACTGAGAGCAGCCTATGTACAATACAGATACGTTCACTTATTCCTGGGTACTTGATCTCACTACCCTAATGCCAGGGGCCTTTGCATTTCATTGCCTAGGAAAACAAAAGCCTGGAGGTGATCAGTGCACATTCCATGCTCTTCCGGGACTTTATTTCTCGTCCGTTTGTGGAACTCACGCCCCGGCCTGGAGGAATTCTGATAAAATTTAAAAAGGTAAAAAAACAATTGCCTTTAGGCAAGACCAAACTAGAAGGTATCAGGCTAAAAAGTGAATGATTCAGAAAGTGACAACCTGACTACAAGGTATTATGATAACTGAAGAAGTATCGAGACCTTGCATAGGAGGTATTAGCAAGAATCAAATTAGAACAAGATTCACAGTCCTTTTCACTCTGTCTGTGTCACTTAGCACAATTGGTAGAGCCCTGCATGGATTTAAAATTTGTATTCACATCTGTATCCACAGAAATGAGCCACGTCTATCACAATTATATCCACGGATGTGGATACTTGTGGATATCCGCAGATTTGCAGGGCTCTAACAATTGGACCACAGCCCTAGTTGGGGCTACTGCAGTACTAAATTACAATTCCCTCATGATGCCACCTAAATGTGACCATTAAAGTAATTGCAGGCTGTGTGTGTAAATCAGCATGGCTCTACTGAAGTAAACCAAAATAGGGCAATTTAAATCAGTTAAAATTCTAGCCATGTATTCACGATTCCAAAGTGCTTTATAAAGAAACTGTATGTAGTATCATTGCAGCGACATTGGTCTCAGGATTTCAGAGAGATACAGTGGGTGAGATGTCTTTTATTGGAATACCTGTATTGGCGAGAGACAAAAGCTTTTAAGCTTACACAGAGCTCTTCTTCAGGTCTGGGAAATTTAAACAAAATCATAACTTTCCTAGACACTAAAGATCACAGATTGAAAGGACACTGAATTATGATTTATTACAACCATTTATAACCCACCAACCCCTCCTACCCTCCAGAGATGTTTACAGGCCACTTCACTTTGAATGGTCTCTTGAAATGTGCTAACTGCTTATGCTAGACAATCTGTTCCACCTTGCATTTAGCTGTGAGTACATTTCTCAGACCTTGAGAAGAGCTCCGTGTAAGCTGGAAAGCATGTCTCTCTCACCAACAGAAGTTGGTTTTCTAACCTCATCCACCCTTCTGAAATTAAAAGGCAAAGCAACAAGAAAGCTGTACATCTTTCAGTGAATGCTACCACCTCTGGAATGGGACACAGCACACAATACCACTGTGCCACAGTTTAGGACAGGAAACAGGTTTTGTCCGCACTAACAAAATGTAAAGTGCGGGCCACTGCAGTGTGATCATGGCAAGAACACTGGGAGACAGCTCTCCCAGCATTCTTGGTAAGCCATCCCCACAAGAGTAGCAGCTAACTGTGCAGGGTGTGGCTCTCAGCACTGTAGCATCACCTACATTGGTACTTTACAGCTCTGTAACTTGCTGTATTTGGGAGTGTGCGTTTGTGTTTTTCACACCCCTGAGTGAGAAAGTTACAGCACAGTAACCTGCCTGTTTAGACAAGCCCAAAGAGGAGCTACAAATTAAACTGCACAGGAAGTTTTAGACACACAAGATGCAGTAACTCAATTTGTAACATGACCAGAACAGAGGTATCACCCCCGCTCTTGCTAGGAGTACCACTGATTTTCAGCCACCACAAGCTTTAGGACCTCTGCTTTCTATTTTATCTAAATATATCTTGGTTCAAAGCTGCCGGACCCTTAACAGAATTCTACATTTTGCTCTTCTCAGACAAGAGAGCTTCCAGCTGCACTTGTTTCCTCTTAAACATTCAGCAACTTAGAAATCGGATGTGCCCAGGGAGACCCAGGTGCACCCCCTCAGAGCGGGAAGGAAATCTACAACTGAATTATACAGTTAGATGCCTATTGGGGCGGAAATGGGCAATGAAAGTGGCTTTTGTTATCAGGAGAACAGCTAGCTAGAGCCCTGCAGAGTGACTTCCTGATCTGAGACTAATAGTTACTTTTAACAGAGTATTAAACTCAGCAATGAACTGAAAAGGAGTCTCCCCTTTCCAGAAATTCTCAACATCACTTTAAGAAAAGTCATCTTCCTGATGAAAAGAAGGTGATACAATATGGGGCTGAGTGGGCTGAGTGGGACACAGAGATAAGCAGAGCAGAGGCAGTTTCAGTGCTGTTTCAGGGGCCATCCTAAAACATGGGAAATGGTATTGAATCTAGTGCCTTTCTGAATATCAATTTACCCTACCAACAGCTGCACTTTTCTGCTTTCAAGTTCAGCTGGCAAAATTTGGCCCTTTCTTGATTCAATGTAATCAAATTCTGGACTGACTGACTGCCAAGGAACAGGAAAAGGAAAGTCTGAGGAAACAGGATAATTGGCATGGGGGGGTCAGTAATGTAGGCAAGGGAAAGCAGAGCCTTCCCAAAATTGCCTACATGACCAACCACCTAAGGCTGGGGCCATCAGCGGGGAAGGCTAGGGCTTTGACACAGCAGCCTGGCTCTGTCTGGCCACCTGTTGGGGAAGGCAGCCCAGCTCAGCAGCACAGTTGCCTGGGAACAATGAGACGCAGCTGCCAGGGAGGGACAGAGCTGGCTTCCCCTGGCCGCCACGGAGAGCCGGGCCGGGCCCGCAGTATGGCAGCCGTGGCTCTCCACGTGGCCCAGAAGCCTCGGGCGGAAGGGGCGGGGATTGCCTTCCTCCGCTGGCCTTTCACCGGATGCTTACGATAATCGGTACCTAACAAGGTCAGTACCTTCCATCCTCTTCCTCACACTGTGTAATTGCTCCCCCACCTTACTACAAACTGCATCCCGCAGACATCACCCTGCTACTAGAAATCAATTCCAGCAGCATCCTTCCACAGGAAAGAGAGCTATGAGAAGCTTCTGTTTAGGGAGCTTGGATTCTTTAGAGATGGAGAATCAGAAATAGAATTGTTTGACAGAGTCCCTCCCCTCCCATAGGGAGGTGATTAGCATCCACTCCCATTCATTGTAAAAGGATGGAAAATGGCATTTATATGGTCAAAACTATGCAAAGTCAGACAAATTTCCAAAGCCAAAAGGGACCATTATGATCATCTCCAACTTCCTGTAAAACTCAGGCCATAGAATTTCCTCAAAGCAATTCTGGTGCCCTCAGAATGGGTTTACCTGTCCAGAAGAGACCTCGCTAGAGGAATCATCTCACCTGGAGAATGAGAAGAAGCGTGAGAATGGAACTCAGGCTGGCCATGTGGCCAATGAGCCAATGTACTGTGTCCATACTGAGTGCACATACTGGGATTCACATTTGCTGGGCACCTGGTCAGACTCTCCTGTTGCAGAAAATTCTTTTTGCCAAGTCAGAGCAGAGGATAACAAACTACTTGGCAAGTTTATCTGTGGCAATAAAAGGTTTTAAAATTTGGAAACTGCACTTAAGCTCACAATGAGGGTTTTTTTTTTTTTAAGCAAGAATTATTTGGACCATCTTTTCACAGGATAAGACGCAGCACATGATGCTATTGCAAATGATCCTCTGCAGACACTTTAAGGAAATAAGTCCTCTTCAATGGATCCTCAAACTCCGTTTCTTGTATGGTGGGTCACAACCCACCAATGGATCATGGTAAGACAGCATTCAGTTCAGAAACGAGGCCCCAGGATGTTTGGGAGTAGTTGACAAAAGAATTTCCAGCCTTCCATGAGCTAAATTGTCAGGAGGGTAAACACCAGAATCTCCACTCTAAAAACAGAACAAGCTGTGGAAACACCCATTATCCATGTGTTTTGCAAACTTTAGCTGTGCAAGGCTCTTTACACTCCCAGCCTCCAGGCTTCATGTGTTTGGGTCAGATGTTAAAGACAACATGTTCACTTGTACTCTAAAAATAACAAAAAGCCAACGGGGAATCATTCCTACAAAAGCTGCAGATGAAGAAGATATTAATTTAATCAAGAAATAGATTGTCATTGCCTTTATCTTTTCAGATGACCAAGGCCCAGTCTTGTAGACCAGACAATTGGTATGTTACTGTGGACTCTACACACTGTGTTAGGTAGAAGTTTTCTGTAAACAGCTACCCAACAGGAACTATACCTACTATAGAGCAAGTGGTAGTCATCTCAAAATAGATGAAACATCAGACAGAACAAGATCAGCTGGACAGAGTAACTCAAGTGACTGGCCAAGACATATGGTGCCTTTCAAGCTCCAGATCACTGAAGCAGAAGTGACCCAGTTTAGTAAAAACTCTTGGTTACTACCATTTATATTCTGGCTGCAGGGGGATTTCGGAAGTGAGAAGTGATCTGTTGGTGGGTGGAAGGGAATCTTGCATATACTTGACAATAGCACAAGACTGTGTCCATTACAACTGATGTCTTGCTGATAGTCAGGAGTGAGATTAAGGTTTATATGGGTCTTACAGGTCAAGCTCTCTTCACCTGAAAAGGCAATCCCTCCAGGTCGGGGCTGACACACATTGCTGGAGCACTTCAGCAGTACTTTTCTTTGGTGGTTTCACACTACCGTTGAGATACAGGGGATGACACATTGTACACTATGGCACACACAGACTCCTTGGATTGTAAGTTAGCTCCCATTGGCCTTAGCCTCCTCAGCAACAAGAACACACTAGAGTGTTAAGCTTTCCTCACCTGTTCTGCTCCTCCAGCTTTGCCAACAGTTCCAGCTCATCTGGGCTTAGGTTCTCTGAATCGGAGTTGGGGGAGCAGGCTGGTGCAGAGTTGACAGAAGAAAGAGCCTCGTGGGAAGAAGAGTCTGGGCTGACTGCCGGACTTGCCATCTCAGGAAGGCTGAGGGTAACAGGGATGTTCATTCGCAAAATACACAGGAACACCCTTCAGGAAAGTCCAAGTTTCATCTGGAAGTGAACAAGCAGCATTAATATGCATGCACAGCACAAACATATATAGCTCCTTTGTTTCAGACCTTTTCTTACCCAGACTGTGTCAGCGTCAGTATCATGTAGGGGAGCCAGTGGCTGCTGAAGACTTATTCTAAACCAATATTCTATTGACTGGAAAGTACATTACCTTTACCTCAGAACTCCAGGTCTATCCTCATGTCCCTTTATTTCCATCAGGAACTGCTCAACTATCCTTTGTGTTGATTCATATTAAGGATGTTAAATTGCAGTTATCTGGCTAGTCGATTATTCGCTAACATCCCTAATTCATATCCACGCCAGCCTCATCCAGTGCCTTTTGTCATGGTGTCTCCCAGGCCCAAGGCTCCAGACTTTGCACCCACTGCTGAAGTCTTTCACCATAAGGGAGCTTTTTGGGTAAGCTGAAAGGACAACATCTCCAGCAACAAACTTCCTCTTTGTACAGGTTTAATTTTTAAAAACAAACAAACCAATTTAACAAAACTGATACAAAAAACAATTTTGGCACAATTCAAGACAATTTAAAGTTTATTAATCTTACTTGGACAATTAATTAAATTAAAACAAGTCAATAAACCAGATTTAGATTTTGTCCACACAAGATGTTATTCCTGAAATCTCTATTACTGATTAATTCCACATGTGGGCATTCTTATTCTGGAATAGGAATTCCTGATTACAAATTTGTTTATCTGAATTGGATTAAGCTAATTTGGAATCAGGTAGTCTTACTCCAGAATAAGAGTAGTCACACATGCAAGTTAGCTATTCCTGATTAACTTCTTTACATTCACACCTTATTTTATTCTAGATTATCCCTCTCATAAATCCTGAAAAAAAAATCTGTTCTTGATGGAACTAATTTAACTAAATCTATTTTAAAATTATATCTATAGTTAAACTGGTGCAACTTTGTCCATATTCAATGTCTTAGCAACATGGTAAAGATGTGGTAGGACATGGCTTAAGAGGGAACAGCACCTTTACTGGTGGACCTAAAGCAACCTGGGTTTTCCCACAAATGGCTTATACTCACACACTAACCAGGCCTGACTCTTGCTACTTGCGAGATCTGATAGGATTGCAGCCCAAATTCATGTATAGCTGCAGACCATAATGTTTATTTTAGGTACTTGAATAGCTTCCATTACTACAGAATGTCCCTCAGTAGTTAGCATATTTATCCTGTGAAGTAGGACAGTGTTTGCAGAGGGAAGTCCCATGGAGCTAGTTTTTATCCACTGAATTTTTTCCATCTATGGATTGTGTAAATGCATAATTTAAAAAACCCCGGTCAAGTTTCTCAGAGATGCTGTGTTGGATGATGACAGACATAACAGCAGCTTTAGCTATCAATTATTTTTATTGGTTGGTGTCAGCCTTCGGGTTACTAAAATGTGGTTTAGTTTATGTATTAATACAATATTTTAACAGAGGAATTCCTCCCAGGGGAGGGCAAGACACAGTGATTGAGACAGAGCAGTCCACAGAGTCTACTTTGTGCGTCACAAGCATTCGTAGCATGCAGATGGATATTTCTTTATGCACACATGCTTTCTTAAATTTGATTTTCCTTCCTTAAATGTGATCTTCTGCACTTGCCAGGGTTAGAAATAAAGGTCACAACTATCCCATCAACCTGGATCCATTGCTGAGATATATTTTCTAAACCCTTTGAGCTCCTGCTTTTATTCTAACAAGTTTGCACTTATATCTTGTGAGTTAACCATTAAGAGCATATCACACGGGAACAAATGAAGTGACAGTGATGGAAAGAGGTCTCCCTCACATGAAATCTGAGAGTACACTCCACACGTATTCAACTAAGTTGTCTTTGAGCCTTTCTTCATGGCAAACAAATATAGTGATATTTTTAAAGCCAGCTGCCAAAGTGTGGGGTTGGGATGTCTGGAAGGCAGGCGTGTCCATGAGTGAATCTCTCTTTCAAAGTGGTCTGCAGAGAGAATGAGAACAAGTATACTAACCACCACTGGGCTGGCTCTCTGGGGGTAAGGGGATCGGAGAACAAGGCTTTGATTGGCAAATGCTCTTAGGGTGCTGCACCTCTCTGGCCACTTTAACAGTCAAGTCTTTGGTAGCCTTGACATTACCATTCCTTGCCACTTGCTACACCTTTTTAGAAACAGAATACGCCTGTGTCTAAACTTTGAGCAGCCTGCAGCTGTATTCGCTTTATGGCAAGAGGTGCATGCTGAAACAAGCACTGAAAGCCACACATGAAGATCTGACAGAACTGCATACGACATGCTGAAGGATCTCATTCTGCCCTGTACTAACATACAAGTTGGTTACCTCCTGTGCAGGTAGAATGCAGAGTTTGGCATACTGAGCCCAACAGAGTATACTGATACCACAGGAAAGAAAGACATCACAATACGGAGAAGTTTTGGTAAGTACAGTGGGTTCGTAATAAAGCTTATAGAAGGCAACAAAGTACTCAGCACATTTTCAGCATATTGAGGATAAAGCATGGAAGTAAGACCAAGAAGGCTGGTATATTGAAGCATCAAGTCGGTAGCACTGAACTATATCTAAATCTGTGGCAGACCTTGTTGGGCAGATGAGACATAAGCATCAATTTCTGATTATCACAAATACTCATTAAAAAAACAAGCACACACACTCTAGTATGATTTGTAGAGGTGCTGTGAAGGATAGACTAGCAGCCCCTCCCCACACACACTCAATATTTAGGAGGCTTTGGAGTGTGGGTGGAAGGGGAAAGAATTCATCTATTCATCTTCCTATAGCTTTGTATCTGCAGAGAGAGGAGAAAGCAAGGGAATCCAAAACGTGGTCTTATATATCAGCCAAGGACTATGAAAAATAAAGCAGAACAAAAAAAACCAAACAAAAAGCATCTGGGGGGAGGGGAGGAATCACCTTAGAGTAGTGTTTCTCAATTTTTTTTTTTACGAAGCACCCCTTTTTCAAAAAAATGATTAAGTAACCCCAGAGCCAGGCACCCCCAGCCCCCCTGCTCTAACCCAATGCCCTTCCCCTTCTCCAGAGTCAGGCACTGGATGTATGGTAACCCTATCTTTGAAGTGCCCACTCTCACCACCCGGACATTTTTTGCCAAATTTCACTTGTATTGAAATTCTCTTGTGGACCTCTAAGGTTACACGTGCCACTGGTTGAGAAACACTGCCTTAGAAGGAAATCTCCCACACCACCTGCAGTAGCTGGAAGTGGTGGAACAGTTTCTCTCAGTGAGGCACTGATTCTGAATCTAACTGGTGCCTCCATTGTTTGTATCAACCTCTGTCCAGCAAGGTGTATCCCTCTAGAAATGCATCATGCCTTGTCCTAGTTATGATAATAGAGCTGATTAATCAGTGTGATATATGATTGTTTTCTCCTACTAATTTTACAGTGATTTGTCAGCCACAAACATACAACATGTGCTTCAATTTCTAACCCCCTCTCCCCCCCCATTTCCCTCAATATAGGAAGAGTTGACATGGTCTTATAAATCTCAGCCTCATTTATTTGCTGACACCAGCATGTCATTACTGTAAAATTACAATTATTATCCAGAGACTGGAAGCACTATGTCTGAAAAATGCAGCAAAGCTAATCCTACCACAGCGAACAATGCAGCAGCTCTGCCCATTTAAATAGACCCAGGCGCTTTTAAAGGGGAACATTTTCTAGTGCCTATTAATAAATGATCCCTTTTGCTTCTTGGATTAATTTAGCCTTGTTTTACTCCCAGCTCTTCTGAGCATCTCTGCTAGCTGCCAGTTGCCTGTTGTGTCTACAGGTTTGGATCCTAGGAAGAGGCACTGACAAGTTGCACTGGAGCAATCAGTGCCACAATCCTGTTTCTCATTCATTCTTATATCTACAAAGGTTTCACTGAAAACATGCTAGCTGAGTGTGACGTGTTTCATCATCTCTTCCCTATCACTATGCGAAAATGCCTGGGCCATTGTACATTTCTTAGTCTTCTTCCGGGGAGGAGCTTAAGAAGCAAATCTAGTTTAACAGCTCCTAATAATAATAGAAATTATACATGACACCAAAAACCTCTTCATAATTGTACCCACTCATATTTGTAATCAACTGAATACAAGCACCTCATGTTTCCATATGAACTCTGAATAATCACAATCGCCACATAATTCACTGCTACAAAAATGGGCATTACACAAGGCGTATGATTAGTTGACAGCTTCTAGCATAGCATGTAACTGGTTATAAATCAGTCAGAACTCATTAGCTAATTGTTTATAACATTAATAAAGCATGTTTTGTTGCCAGGGATGTTGATGTGTAGTTGACTGTATGATTAACCGATAAGCTTAGGCTTATCAATTAATCTTCTCGACTACACACATTTCTGCCCCACACTTTGCTGCCTCTGTACCAGCCAGTTCCTCCCAGCACCGACTCTGTGGTCCCACAGAGGCATGGTGGGGGGAGAGGAAGGGGAGCCTACCGCAAAGCAGCCTCTGTCCAGGGCTACTGCCAGAGCAGCCTCCGTCTGCTATGGGCCCAGGCTGGCTACAGACAGAGTCTGTTCCATGAGAGGAGGAGCAGCCTCTGTCTGTGGAGAGCTTGGCCCCCCCATGGACAGGGGCTGCTGCCAGAGGCAGCAGCGCAGGGCGGCAGGAAGCCATTCTGTGTGGGGAGCTTGGCTCCCCTTGTAAATCAGCTCCCACAGGGCATGCCAGCTCTACCCCCAAGGACTACAGAATAGTCAATTAACCAATAAGAATTTATGCAGTTACTTGACTATTCTATTACCCGATATCCAACATCCCTATTTGTTACAAACAACCCCCCTTTAAGGAGGATTGGTATAAACAGATACCTACATTGCTCAAGAGGTGTGGTTGAAAAGACTTTGCCTCCAGCCAGACAGGATAGCATAAGGTCATAAGAAAGCAGGAACACTTGACAAAGGCAACACGAAAAACAAATCAATTACATTTCAAAAGCTACAA